AGTGTGACTTATTTTTATATTTATTATGCTTGTTTTATAAAATTAATATAAAATTATTAAATTTTAACAAATTTTTGTTTAGTTTTTCGTTAATTTTGGATAAAATATTGAAAATAACCTTACTTAAATAGGTACCGTTATAATTGAGTTATATTTTGAAAATTTGTTAATAAGATTTATAATCAAGAATAATGATTACGAAAAAATAAATATTACATTGCAACTCCCTCCTCCAGCAATTAAAAATATTGATGATAAAGGGTGTCAAATAAATATTTAATTATATAGTAATTATAAATTATTGATAGTAATTATAATAAATAGTAATTATAATATATTAATAATATTATAATAGTTTCATAGCAGTCTTGATGAGTTAATTTATTTAAAAAAACCACAGGTTTAATTTGTTCCTTTTTAAATTTTGAAATACTTAATCACTTTATTCACATATATTAATTGTTTGCGCCCAAATTTAATATAGGCATTGCGATTTCAATTACAATAATATAAGTATAATACATGCCATAGCAATACATTCATAGTATTCCTAATACTGGATTACGTGTATATTATACACTGTATAAGTATCGCCGTTTATATGTATAAAATACATGTTGATAATCATATAATATTTGATCAGCACACGTACATTTATAATATGAACTTTATACTGTGTTGGAAATACCTTCGACGACATAAAAATATTATCTAAATGCAAATGAACACGAACAAGTATGAAAATTTCGTTTAAACCATAATGTATCGTATGGACAACCTAACCCGCGTATAACTTACTGTGTAATGATAATGGGGAGCGAGTATTTTCATTATAAACATTTTGTTGACAAAGGGAGTTCCACGACAATGGGACAATTGTGAATATATGACACGCTTGGATGTATGTATACATTTTTTAACAATTAACAATGACAAGAGACCCTAATGAATCTATATTCTCACAAAATACTAAATAGTGTACTTGGCTCTTGTTTTAACCCTATAATATATACAACGTAATACATATATTTGTTCGTTTAGGTACATATATACGTATTGCTATAGTAAGATTTCATAACGGTTGTTCTGAACCGACTGTGTATGCAAACGATACAATCGTTAGTTATTTGGAAAATGTTTGCTTTTATCCACCATGAGAAAAAAACAATACTTATTTGCCTATATTTATCCGGTCTGGTTTTAAATGTTTTATTCGAGAGCACTCATTGGTTATTAATCTTTAACTCTTTAATTTTTTTCCTGTATATTATTTTAATCAATACTCGTATATACGATGACGTTAATAATTAAACAATATTCAAACAATTTACATTCGATACTACCTATACTAAATGATTTATTTTATATTATTGTTATAATAATACATGATGTTTTGATGTAAATTTACTATTCAGCAGGTGGCTAGTAATTACTTATTTATATGGTCGGAAATATCAATGTTTCATTAGATGTGGTAGTTCTGTTGACAATAACAACAACATCAAATATATTTAAACATATTAGTATTTTATTCTTGATTCATAAAATATAATACAATTTTTTTAAAGAAACTCTATAACTTACTTTTGATATAAATTAATAATAAATTATTAAATATTTGCAATATTATTAATAGGCATTACAATAATTACTTTAGCATCTAATTAATATTGAATGATAAACGTAACGCAGTTTAATATATTCATTAAACAGGGGACCTTTGAATATATAAACTATACAATTTTTGTACAAATTAAAAATAACTTACTGCTTCCATGACACATTCTGCTACAAGAACCTCAACCAAATTTAAAGAATTTGATGCGTATGGAACAAAAACAGCAAATTTACATTTTTCTTTTATTCTGGCTTGTATACCAGCATATTGTTTATATTTTTACATTCAACATTTTATCTAAACTTTATCCACTTCTCATGTCATTTGATGACGAAAATAGCAATTTTTCTTTTCATTGATAGTATTCCCTTATTTTTATAAAAAGCTAATTTTAATACTTTGAATTCGATATTTACTTATAATAAAATTTAAAATAAAATAATATAAAATCATAATATTTTGTAAATAAAATGTTATGTTTGTAAATTTGGAACATTTAATCCCTAGGTGCCAACTTAAGTCCTTTGGGCCCTTATTTTAGATGACACTGACCATATTGTGCCCAGTGGGGTATTTTGAAGTTATTCTTGGTTTGAGTTTAAATTTTTTTTTTGTGTTTTTATTAAATAAATAAATGAATGTATATATTATTTACATATACGCAATAGATATAGTTTCCAAAATATTGTATACTTATATGTTCTTAAATAAATAACTTAAATAATAAAATAATAAAAAATTAGTAAATGGTAAATACTTGTAAATAATATATAAATAAATATACAAATAAACAAGTTAATGTTTAGCTTGGAGTATTATTATATTTGTAAAGTACGACCGGTTTCAAATTAAAAATTCGTCGTTATGTATACTATGAACAGTCAATAAAGTCGCGATTTTATTGACTTTGTTTACACCCGATGATGAATTTTTGATTCAAAACCGACCGTACTGTATAGTAGAGTATAGTATTTAAAACTATTTGTTTATTTATTTATATATTGAATAATTTAAATTGCATAATATCCAGTTATATTTATTTATTTTATATTTTTCGTGTATTCGATATAAATTGAGATTTGTTGTGGGAAACGAAACGATACACAATAACGATACAAATTTTTTTGGAATTCCTTATTACTTATATCTGTAATCCAACTTAATAAACATTGATCTTTTATTTGTATGCGATAAAAAAATGATTAAATATTCATAATAAATGAATATTGTATTGAATTATTGTTACAATAACAATAATAATTTTGTATTTATGGCAAATGAAAATTAAAATACAATAAAAATTATATTTTTCTGCTACGATCTTGAAGCAAACGTCTTCATCAATAACGTTCAATTTTTTATTTTTTCAACTCAATTTCTATCGAAATCATCGCAAGACTACTCTAAGCCACGTTTAGGACATGATGCTTCTTAAACAATTTTTGATTAATTTTAGACTTTAGAATAGCTTTTCGACACTTTCTACGATAACCAGTAATATAAGAAACAAGTAAAATACCTTTAACAAGTTAGAAAAATTACTCCTATAATGTATTTTCCACATTTATTAATATTAGTCTAAACACTTTCGTGTTGTCATTGGATAATCCGTATACACGTTCAGTAATCATTAATCAGTATACTTTGTATTATTTCAATTTTCCATGATTTTATTTACTTGACATTTTTTTAAACGGTACTGAATTTTATTGCGAGGCCCCTTTAGCGATGATACCCGCGGAAAATTTCGCCTTCAATCATATGTAGTTCCGCCTATGACCATAGGTATATATTTCTTTTGTTTGATTTTCATAATAACTAATTTTTATACTCATAGTGTGTCCGATACCAAAAATAGTATTTTTTTTATAAAGATACACAAATTCGTCAGTAATTTACGTTTAGTAAGCAAAATTATAAGCTGGAATAAAAATTTTTGATTAAGCATTGCAAATTTCGGTATGAAACCCCTATATAGCTCAAAATATACATAGTTGAAATGTGTTTTTAAACACTTGTACAATTAAATGTAAAAAAATAGTGTGTGTCATATACGTGTCTATAGTATTTACACATATATACCATTTATGTAGTTGTTTACTTTGGTTTTTGGCCAACTTAAACTTTCGAAACGAAATTACTATAGTGTACACGGAAAATATACAACAGTTATAATATGTTTTATTGATATCAACGGTAATAATTAGTAAAATGTTAGAAGTACAACATATCATATTATATAATACGTTCTGGCTGGTGTGTTGTTTTTTTCTCATCGGCATGATACTATATACGGTAAATGTACACTAAGTCTGTAAATCTCACAAACAAAACGTAATCGAATGTAAAGTTCAAATGTCATGAGTATATATGATAGTGTTTGTTACCTACTTGGTGGCACAACACTATTTAACATTAATAATGTGCGAATCAATCTGTTATCAATTATTCAAATGCGTATTTTATATATATACATAATATTGTCAATGATATGCGAGAGCAGTATTCCAGTTCAGATGAAGCGAATTAGAAGTATTTTTATCGTCTCGTTCCCCTTAATAAATAAAAAAATTACTACGGATTCGATTTGTTAAGTATTATTTCCGATTTATCGTGATAAATCCTGTCTCATTGGAGTATCGAACCCGACGATGAAATATCTATACAATTCTTCACCGTAATGTAAAAAAGGACGGGAGAATGATCTGTAAGTGCATTCAGGTGTATTATCGCTCGTTTACAAGACAAACTACCGAACAAATCGCTTCAAACCGTTCAAAGTAAAGCAATTTAATGATGTCGTTGATGTATGCGTGATTCAGCCAAAAGTACGAAAGTTCTGTGCAGATAGATGTATCAAATTGGTTCCGTAGAGGTGAAAAAATGAAGAGGTAATGTTTAAATAAGTAGATTTGAGCTATTCGAAAACATTTATCGCGAGGTGGTCATTCGTCATCTTTTGTTCCGCTGCTTTGCAAACACAAAATTAGATTTTATTCAAACATACAGGTTTATGAAAAATATAAAATATAATATATTATTATTCGAATAACTGTGTTTTCAAATGTTCTGTCTACGTATTAAATAATAATAATTATACATAGATAATTAATCTTTGAGACGAATGAATATTTTAATACTCAACTTACTAGCATGCATGCTAAAGTATAAACGTTTTTATACACGGTAGATATAATACGTACATTAGAAATATAACCTAAAGTTTAACTTATGAACTCTGGAGTAAGCCAAAACTTCTAAGAAACCTTAGGTAAAATTGATAATGAAAAAAAATTGTATTCAAGCATTTATTTACACATCAATGAAACGATAATTTTTATTCATCAATTTATATTTTAATTTAACAAAAATTAAATCATTATACTTTTTTTCTGATAAAAAATATAAGTATTTCAAATTAAGTCCATTTTCATGTAAGCTAAACACTAATTGAGTAGGTACTTATTCTAATAATGGCACTGGCGAATTGATCTTGAGCCAACTTGGCAGTCTGAAAAAAAAAGAATTAATAATTTAGTATTCGCCAAACCCACATATTATCAACAAGCAAATCCAATCTTATCCAATCAAATTAAAATCATCCATTCTACAATGTACATAATTCACTTATTATAATAATTGTATTTTAGAGAAAATGTAATATGTTACTGTGATACTGAAAATCTTTGCACTGTTTAGTTTCCTCAAATGTAGTATTTGAAATATTTATATGGCTTACCGAGTTGTGTAGTTTCGATTATAATGATGGAGGGATAAACGTGTACAGTTAAATATTTATAATAACATTAACTGTATTTAATTTTTTTAGGAGGTAGGTGGATCATATACGTGTGTCACCTAACATTACAGGCCGAAATAAAGATAAATAGGCGTGGTGTATTTTTTTTTTTTTTTACGGCAAGCTGTTATAACTACCTCGGTAAATTATGAAAACGGTTCATTTCATTTTTATTTGTGGTTCTGGTAGTTTTTCGTTAACTCCTCAAGTACCATATATGTTTACTGTTTCACAAGGATGAAATATAGTGTGTACCGAAACGTAAAATATATTGATGTCGCAAAAGAAATTAGCTTCGTACGCAACGGCTCGGTTTGATTACAAGTAAAGATTGTTCTTAATTTTTATACAGATTATCATATAAGTGTTCATAATATTATTAATTTAAATTATTATTAGGTTAGATTAATACAATATTTATTATTAACGCAAATTAAAAAAAAACACGCTCTAAAGTATGTATAATGTATCTATATACTTCAAATTAACACATTATACTTATAAATTATTAACATAATTAGTTTCAATATTAATGCTAAAGGATATACATTTTAAAGTTTACATTTTCAATATTTTAGTATCTATGGTTGTAGATTTTCAAATATCTTCTTGAATTTTGTCGAAAAAAAATGGGTTTTAGTATTGATATTAATTTATACATTTTTTTACGGCTTAATAATATTTAAATTTATTTTTCATCTATTAGCTATAATAATTTTATACTATCTAAAATTTATAACATTTTTCCATACAAAGGTTACTATCAATATAATTTTGGCATGTGCTTTTAATGACATTTGAATTTGTTGCAAAAGTTTCCTGTAGATTCCTGAAATATTAAATTTTTTAATCATTATTTTCGGTTTAATGGATTTTATGATTTTACAGTTGATTAATATACACGATTAAAAAACATAGTATGTTAACTTATACCAACATTTTTATTCTTAATCCGTGTTAATTTTTTGAATCATAATTTGAAGGTTATTAATACTTTAAATTATCATTTAATATTATTTATTGTGCACTACACGTATATTTTCGTATCATATTCTTTGAATAATTATATGTCTTACGGTTATCAATTCGATGCGTGATAACATTGATAGATATAAATTGTATTTTGAGACATTTTGTTTAGGTAGCAATAAAAACACAAACTGATTTTCTTTTAACTTTTACAATAGATGTTTATATAAATATTTTCAATACCATTTTATTTTATTTGATAAGATTATTTTGTTCTTTTTTTCATCTAAGTAACTCAATTTTTGATCAAAAATCTTTTAGAAATTAGAAGTTGTTCTATTATTTTATTCATCAGGTTAGAGAATATTATAAAATACCTATTTTGTTTTGAATAATATAAAAATACTATTTAGAATTATTCAAACAAAAATTAAACTAAGTAAATAAACTAATATTTAATACAAAAAATTATAAAAAATTGTTGTGTTTTTATTTTAACTTAATATCAATATAAATTATACACAGAAAAAAAAACAGTGTTTACTAAAATTAATGAAAATAATAATATGCTTGTAATTTTTGAAATGTCACACTTTGTTTATCTTATACCTTGTATACCTTCTACATTCTAATCGATAATAATAAATTAAATAAAAAGACATACCTATAAATAAAATTAGATTATTTCGCAATTATTATATAAACGAAATATTCCTAACCTAGATACTAAGCATATTGAATGTTTTTGTATTTTAATAACGTATGCTAAAATTTTCAAATAAATATTTAGAATTTAAACCTCATTAAAATATGAATTACTGGTAGTTTCTACTTTTTTCAGATGTTTTCTAACTTTATTTAATTTTTAGTCAATATCTAGGTAATTAATTAAATAAAAATGATAACTGATTATATTATAATAATTTCCACCGTAGAAGTTGATATTTTAAATTTAACAATAAGTTGATAATTTTGTGGGTATTTATATCATAGAAAAAAAATACATTATACGTACTTTACTTTATTGTTTATATAAATAGAGAAAAAGTATAAGTGATTATTAAGTTAAATCTTCCAAGTAATTAAATAAATATTTATATTTTCCATTTAAATTGAGTACATAATTTATGAAAGTTGATTGATACAGTTTAAATATTAAAATTTTCGATGATTTAAGAAACTAAAAAAAATGTAATGACATTTTTTTAATTAAATTTTATTTAAAACAATTATTTTTGGTGAATAATGAATAAATAATTAGCGATCACTTAAACATGTGTGTTAAGATCACTTTTTCAAATAATTCCAAAATCAATTATACTTCTTATTTTGAATTCTTAATAATTTTTATTAAACAGCGTTAAATATATTTATTTAGTGCATTTCCTCGACCAAATTATGCTAATAATAATTATTCTATAATAAATAAATAATTCTACGTTATACTTTTATTTTATCATACTTTCAATAAATTATATTTAATCTTTCTATGGATTTAGTTGTAATCGACTAAATTCCTGTCTTCTAAATAGTTTTGATATATTTCATTCAGGATTTCTAATTTAATTTTTAAAAATGTAAAACAAGTAGGTACCCGTTTTATACTTGCATTGTCCCAAACACAAAAAAAACCGATGATCGATACCATCTCGATTTACGTAATTTTCAATATTTTACTAAATTATTTTTGTTAATGATACAATAAAAGTTCAAAATAATATTATTTTTATTCTTTCGGTGGTTTTTTTTTTCGTTATTTTGTTTTATACAGAATTCCATGCAAGATAAACATAATTCAAAAAGTATGTGTATTTTTCGTAAAACTTTAAATATAAAAAAATTCATTCGCAATAAATTTTAGATAATATTTTCACCTTTAAACTGTTGTTTAAGTAAATTTACTCAAATAGAAAAAGTTGAGAAACTATATCACTTAAATATGCAGTAGTGAATTTAGTATGTCAAATGTGTGTAAAAAAATAAGACAAATGAACTTCTTCTAAAAACATGTAAAATTAACGGTATTGAATATTATATGAATATTCAATATTATAATATGTATAATAATTGCATAATGTTCGTATAGGATATTGAGCTTAAGAAATTGTTCTAACTTCTCAGGCTTATAATGAGAAATGTTATTATTATTCTTAAACTATTACAAATTGTATCATTATATCTATATGATTATTATTGTTAATAATAGCAGTAATATTATCTCAGCCATTAACTATTGTTGTTGCAGCTTTAATAAATAAAAATATGAAAATATCAAATGTTCTAAAAATTGTAAATAAGCCTACAGAATTGCTGAATTCATTTGAAATAAGTATGGTATTTTAAATTTTAACATTATATAGTAAAATTTTAGCTGTAAGGTGTTCTTCGATGTACAATCTCTTTGATTTATATTTTTTATAATTACTTTTTAAGTGTTATTTAATTAATCATACAATTATAATGTACACTATATTTTAAGTATAGTATTAGTTATTATATTATTTTTATTATCTTGTTTATAGTTATTTAATCTCACAAAATGTATTTTATATTACAAATTTAGAATTTCATGCGAAAATTTGCTGTTTCCAAATACTAAAATAAACATTCGACGATTAAATAATATAGTCATCGATGGTTAGGCTTCATTATTATTTTGTTTAATTAATGTTTGCATAAAATATGCAAAGGACTAGTTCGAAAATAAATTAAGTTGGGACACTAAAAATTATCCATAATTAATTTTAATCTATCAAGCTATAAAGACTTAAACTATCAAGAGAGCTATCCGTCGACAGTATAATTTTTAACTACACTGTCATGGAGTTGCTCTCTTTATGGATATGTCTACATTCGTCTGAATTACTCTATATTTTAATCTAGTTTATAACTATAATTTAATTTTTTGAACGCAGTTTGATTCTTTTTTTTTTTTTTTATTTAAAAAATCTACTTTAACAATTAATTACAAATTGTAATGTTAAAATTATATTTACTTATCATCTATAATATAAATAAAATTAGTTTAATAATGTTAAAGTCTTAGGTACGGTTGTTTTATTATATTATAATATTTTAATTCGAAAATTTACCTATTATTACATTAATTTCATCAAAATATTATTGATGAAACTAAAGAAGAGAATAAAAATGATCTGATTGTTTTAACGTTCAGACCAAACGTTAATGTAAAAAATTGAAACATTATTTTTATTTAACTGTTAATAATGGAAAGGACATTCAAATATTAAATGTTGATAACTCCGGTTCGATTTTACAATAGACTATATATATAATGTATTTCCTTGTCATATAAATATATATTTTGTAGCCTTTTATTTTAGTTTTTATTGATAATTAAGAATTTGATTTTTATATGGACAGAACATCCTTTATAATTTGATGGATTATCTTAAAATAAATAAATAAATATAATTATAATCAATTATTTTAATTATTTTCAACTGAATTAAAATGTATGTATGTCAATTTATTATAATTAATTAACATACAATAATGACTATATAATAATTGTTATATATAATGTACAGTAATTATTATATTATTTAATATAAATTATTTGTAAGCAATTAAGAAATATAAAAATATAACTATGTATTTAGAGTGTTCATAATCCTGATCTTTTTATTATTGTATGAATATATAATCATTACTTACTAATATAAATACTGAAATCAAACAACATATATCTTAATCTTATGTTATGTTATTATATTACTATAGTCAGATTTTTATTTTACTTACATAGCGTACTATTAAATTAACATGTGATTGATTGGTATAGTTTATTTATTTTAAATCAAGCTAAAATTAGACATAAAATAAAATTAATTCGACGATTGAAGTTGGATGATAATACTGTTGCTTTTTTCCAGTGGCCTATCAACTTAATGAATCATCAAATACATAGTGTCCAACACAACTAAATCTTATGAAAGAGTGTATAATACGAATATGTTGTACACATTAAGTTTAATAATTGTATCTCATTAATAAATATTAAAACATATTGAATTATTAGATGTATGTAGTAATTTATTGATTACTTCATAGAAAACTTGTTCTTGGTTTAATAATATTTTTCACACAGGCAATATATTTTTTCAATGTCATAAATTTATTAATTTGTATTTTAAGTTTATTATTGTTTATGAGGTTTGTATGACTCATGACAATAACAATCGAGAAAATCTACTAACCCACGATCTTATTTTACAAAAGCTTTATATTTTTTTAGAACGATTTTCAAAAAAAACTTGTTCTTTAACATAAGTTATATATGTATATAAATATTTAATAATAATTACGACAAAGCAAACTTCATAATCTAAAAGTTATATCTATGTACAAAAACTTAGACCAATAAATCTATTTTTTTTAAAAATATCCAAGAATTTAGATACCAATTTATTTTTAGATAGGAAAATATTTTTTATAATATTTTTATAATTTTAGAAAATGTACATAAATATGGTTGCTTGGATAAGTGTTTTCGTTTTTAAAAAATTCTCCTAGTTTAAATTTAAGCTAAACGTTAACGAAAAATCAAATTTATATTATGTAGTACCTTAGTATTGTAAACATGATTAAAACATTTAATTATTTATGTATTTTTATTTTAGGTATAAAAATATTTTACATTGTCAAAAACAGTTACAAATAGTACATATATTTATTATGTAAATATTTACATATTAATTTATACAGTTAGATTTTTTTATTTGTTAGTATTATATTATATCGAAAATAGGTGGTGCTGTAAAAGTATTATTGTTGTATAGTATTATATTGGAACAGACTTACGCCCAAACAAATATGCATCTCTCGTACTGACATATTTCTTTTAAACAATAGGCATATGTTCACACATTCATATTATTGCAAAATTATTGAAAAACCTGAACTAACGCCCTTTTGGATGGTTGTCAACTATAGTAACGTCAGAATGAACACAGGTGCTGTTCCTAAAAACAAATAAATGAAAACAAAATGATTAAGTTTAATGAAAAAATTAAACTTTTCCTCATAATTATAGATAATAGAATACTGGATAAAAACAAAAATACTAACTACACAAGGGTCTTTATTTTATAAAAAAAAAAAGTTAAATAGATAATTTACGAGTGAGATATGAAACTAATTTTAACTTTAATAAATTACTTCATCATTTTTACATAATTTTTATTTTCATATTTTATGACATAATTACTGACGCCTTCTATGTTATACCTACTATTATATTGGTGTATTCAGGATTTCTTCAAGGAGAGATATATTATTATTTTTTTTCCTCCCTCTTCTTAGAAGACAATAGGTAATAAATATTATACATTTTTAATTATTACTATAACTTATCTACAATCATATTAATATAAATATATAATATTTTTAATAATTAAATAGAAAAAAATTTAAATAAAATTAAAAATTATTACATAGTCAGCACTCGTGAATTAATTATTTAATTAATTATTAATTATTTGTTTATTTATTTATACATTGATATTTTCAATCTTATTTTAAATAAATGAAGTAAAACACGGGATTTTTTTTTAAAAAAAAGAAGGTAGAGATGTATTTCCCTAATCCTCCCCTAAATATACCACTCTACTAATAATATATGGATGGTTCTTTAAATATTATTATTTTATATTAATATATATGTATACAGTAGTGTTTCCGTAGAACATACTACATATACGTCTAATACTTAAAACATTATTTTCAAAAATTCACAAGTATACTACGTATACTTTCAAGTCTCATGCACTTCGCGAAGTATTAAATGTAATTAGTTTTATAAGTTTCAATTTTAGCCTTATTTTATAATAGACATTTAGTTTTCTCTCGGACGATTAGTTTATTACTTTGAAGTAACTATTAACAATATTCCTTATGTTTACAATGGTATCAATTTATTAAATAATTTTAATTTATATTTTTGTAAAAAAATAAAAATGTATAGGTACCTACATTTCAATTATTTCTTAATACTTAGAATCCTTTCCCACCATCAACGTCTAAATCATAAAAATGTCCATATTCAGACATTAGTTGGCGTAGTATACTCTCAACAATATTGATGGGAGCATTATTATATATATAACCAATACGAAAAATACAAAGGAACTTTATAGGACAATAGCTTATGTGATGTATAAATTCATTCTCCGTGGAAAATGTTTGTTGCATTGATAATGCGGATTGCGGGTCTATCTAAAATATAAAATAGGATTTCTCTTAAAATTCGAATAATATTCAACCATTGTATATAAATAAAACATTATACTTGTTGAAACCAATTATGAGCTTATAATACTCATAATAAAAAAATTAATAAATAAATTAAGATTTTTCAATTATACATATAGATAATATTATAACATAACATTATAAATAATCCAATTAGAAGAAAAAACGAAAATAATCTAAAAAAAATATAAAATTATAAGAAAAAATATACTTTTTTTTAAAGAAAACGTATTTTTAATTTTATTCTAAGTAAGAAATAACATTATTCGCTGGTGTAAAACCTACAACGGGGCAGAGTTTTTCATATTTACTAAACCGTTAGAAGAAAAAAAGCAAACGCCTAAAAGATGTTAACTCAATATAGTTTCCATCACAAGTTATCACTCATCGCCGATGCCCTTCACTGCATATCAAATGCACTTATGTATGTGTCACATACCGATGTCCTATAGTCACCGACGTGGAGAAACTCCATAATGCATACATGATTGAGAATACATTTATTCTTTTACGATTTCACATATATCTACAAAATCACTTTAACCTCGAAGTATAAGGATGCCTGTATTAAACATGTCCTCTCTCTTGATTTTCCGCTTAATCCATCTTGTTCACGGCAAAATGACTATTTTTTACCGTTAAATGAAAACTGATAGTATAATACGAGTACATTGTGTAAAAAAAAAAAAGAATAACAATATAATATCATATTAATCATAGTACTTAGGCTCGCAAATGCATTTGTTGTATAGATTACAATGGATTGCAAATAAAAATTACGTAACCTTAAAGCAGTTACAGTTTTAGTTATAATGTTATCTGTGTAAACGGTTGTAAGTCTGAAGTTATAAATATTCTTATTCAGCGACCAACACAAAAAATTTAGTGCAAGTGAACTATACTTGGCAGTTTTGTATTTTTTTATATAAACCTGAAACTAATGTGTATAAATGTAAAATTACATCAAAAATGAGAATTATTTCGTTTTTTTTGTTGCACTATACTAGTGTACTACAGAAATATTGAATAATATTATAATAATTAGAATAAGAATGTTATTAGAATTTTTTATGTAACACTCTTAATTATCTAGTATTTGGAAAAAAAAATGTAAAATCATTTAAATAAATGAAAAAAAAAAATTTCAAACCATAAATTGCATTAGGTTAGACTTGCTATTCGTCCCAGTTTGACCGGTACACTTCCTGCATTAAAGGTATTTCCCGGTGTCCCGACCGATTATTTAGTTTGCTTTGGTTAGTAGAAGTTGACAGAAAATAACATTGTATTATTTAATAGTAAATCATAGAATAATATTGTACATTATATTATATTATGGTTATCTAATCGACATGGTTATATACAATAATAATGTATTTTTGTACTATCTAGTAAATATTTAAATTACAAAATTATATACTTATTTTTGTTTCTATATGAACATCGTCGTTTATCATTTTATAAAAAATGTAATTACATTAACAAAGTTTTCCTTGAAATTGATATACAAATTTCAAAATTAAGACTAAAAAAAATGTGTAGTCATTTGTGGTACCTAACATCAAAAGTAACATTTTAATCATTTTTTGATAACAATGTATCACTGAAAATAAAGGCAAAAATGGTTAAAGCAGTGAAGACTTTTAATATCAAATCAGAATACAAAAAACGAATAATTTTATAATCAAATAAAATATACGATTATGTTAATAAAGATATCGATAATTTTGTATCAGTCCAATCTAGGATTTTTTTTTTATAGATTCGCGGTATAATGTTAAACTTTTTAGATTTAGATCCGAAATTGTGGAACGAAAATGGAAAATATAAAAAAAGAAAAATAATTAGTAAATAATTATAGTTAATGATATTACGGAGTGAGGAGTGAAATTAATAGAAGATTATAGCAAGTTAATAACTAAAAGCGAAAACCAGAAGCAATATTTACTGTACTGCAAGTAGTGAGCGAGTATTGTCGGTGATTCCCAGATTGTAAAAAAAAACTACCTTGTCCAACAACTTTTAAATAACTGAAAGAAATCAACTATGTAAAAAAAATTAAAGAAATTATAATAATAATTGCTTTTATATAATTTTTCTTATGAAATAATAATTAATAGATAATAATAATAATAGATTTATAAGACATTCTATAAACTGTATTATATTAAAACGTGCATTATTAATGAAACTCTTGAATTAACTTTATAACATTTTAGATAAATTAAATTTTTTCACGTTAACCCGACTGTTACAATAAAAAATTCAATCCAATGAAATTTATGCTAATTATCTTTTTTTTAGTAAATCAAATTCTTTATCAATTGTATACATGATATTTTGTCGTATCATCAACCATTATTTTAATATATTTAAATAACTAAAAAATCGTTTTTTTTTTAATAAATAAAATATTCGATATTTTATCATTTTTCTTGGGAAATAATAGATTTATAAGAAATTGTATGAATATGTTTTTTATTAAAAATATAAATATCTATAATATATATGTTTTACACATTTTTAAGATAAATGCAATATTTTTTTGAATATTTTCAAAAAATGACAAAACAACCCTTTTTCGCTAATATTTAACGCTCTTGAGGCACGTGAATGGGGTGAGTAATCATGATCAAATTTCACCCGAATTACTTTCTTATAGTAATGAACAAAATTAGGGGGTGAGAAATCAAAAATATTAAAAAAAAATGTCTTCATCTATAGTTAAGATTCATACTAAGGTACCTCCTACAGTGAACGTTTTGAAAAGTTTAATTCTAGGGAAAGTATTTTTTACTGTTAAATTAGTATTATTAAAAAAAACTAAATACATAGGTACCTTTATAAAATATACATTTTTATTATATTTTACATTTTTAAGTATGACAAGTATCTATAAGTTTCAAACAATTTCAAATGTAACTTTGAATTCAAACTAACATTTTAATTTAATATATGATAAATAAATGTTGATAATGTACGTATTATTATAAGGTAAAACATACTTGTAAAGCTGTAAACTGTAAATTACAAAATGTTTTTGTAAAATAGTTCAAGATGTCGATTTCTGTTTATGTAGTACAAATGTACGATGTCACAAATCGCTGTGATAATATTACGAATTGGTAATACGTATTATAATAATATGCACTATGCACAAACGTATAGCAGCGAACACGGACAGACAGCAAATAAAATGTACAATTTAAAAATAATTTATAATAATTAATGTCATAGCCTACAATATTTAGTGTTGTTGTTTGGCGGGCTTGCGCGGCGATAAGCGAACAGCGACCGCGGCTGAAATCATAGTAAGAGGTCAACAACGGGTATTTTATCATATTCATTTAACTTTAGATTCTCTATTTTAATGTTTAATTTTCTATCAATAATATTCATACGACAATTTCATATGTGGTCCTCTCAATCTACGTATTGCATAAATCATGTACGAATCATATTGCCATGGCAATCGCCACATGTAAAGAGGGCCTAATACATAAATAAAATACAATTCCCTCGGGAATTTTCCCGATCTCCCGGTGGGCTAGTCCGACCCTGGCTATGCGCTGATGATACTAGTAGAGTCAATGCTTTTTCAATTATTTGTAATTTTTTTAAAAACTAAAAGTGTTGGGTTCATTATGGTGAAGAAAATTTATTATTTTAAGGTTTTTAAATTTTAATACAAATGTGGACTATTTAAATGTAATAACAATTTTAATTCTTATCATTTAAATGTAATTAATTAATTGTCTATAGGTAGTTGAATAAAAACATATTTTTTTGAAATCAAAAACGAAAAGGTGGCAAATTTAGATTTTGCCTATGTATACATTTTGTTTAGAGCCCTGATCATTATTTACTCTATGGTCATAGGCGTGCGTAGATTCTGTTTCCGATGTGGCTTTTATTTTTTTTTTTATCACTCACCCCCTTATAAAACCTCGCCTTAAAAAAAAAAAAAAATAGATGTACAAAACATAAGTAGAAATAAAATTTATTAGAAAAACTGATGTATAATCTGATTATCAATGAACGCCAGTCAAGGCAATTTTTATTTTTTTATAATTTGATGAAATTGATAAAAAAAACTTTCGATTTTCCAAAAAAAAGAGTTATTAGCCCTTTTTACCTAAGTACCTAGTACATACCTAAAAAATAGTCTCAAGTGGCTATAGTCCTATAAGCCACACCCATGCGCACGCCTATATCTATGGTCTTAATCAGGGCTCGGAAGTTGTAGCACCAAAAATTTTTACTTTTTAGTTCTTAAATGCGCACTTAAAAACTCTAAAATATGCGCTATAAATAGCACGAAAAATAAAAAAATATGCATTTAACTTGAAAAAATTATAAATTTATTAGGAAAAAAATTAAATGTAATTTCACAAATTTTTGGAGTCATAGATGTCCGGACTGGTTATATATTATAAACTGTTAACAAAAATTTTAAATTAATTAAATATATTTGTAAAAGTGTACTAATAATTAAATTATTTTATATAAAATTAGAAATTACCCTGGATTATTGAAATGTTTAATAATCTAATGCAATGATACTATAAGGGAAAACAATGACGTCACTAACTATTAATACATCAAATTGTCGATGAAAACATAAATTAATGTTTGATGAGGTCTATTTATTTCTAATAATTCAAATATTCATAAAAATATAACCAAGTAAATACCATTATTATTAACAAAATGTAATTATTTCCTGTATTATGTGAAATTATACTCAAAAATAGCACTATAAACCCTAAATTAGTAAAATAGCAGTAAAACTCGTAAATATGCAAAAAATAGCTAAATTAAATTTTGTGTATGATATCAGAGTAGTGTAAAACATATTTGTATCTTACTTTGGTTGTTCTAGGATGAACCAAGATTAATATGCATTTGCTAGAATTTCCAAACCCAGATCATAATTATACACTTATCATTGATTGTTAAGTTTTTATCAAGAAAATGATTATTTAATCTTTAATGTAAATTTAAATGAATAGCATGTTGATTTATATTTCATATGATTTCTTGTAATAGAAATACATAGTTAATAATTATTTTTAATACTTAAATTATGTACCTATTTATGATACTCTGCTGTAAACAAATTATTAAATACTTAAAAATGTTAATATAATAAACAAAAATAATCAATATTAATGTTCAAAAATAAGCGAATACTATGGAAAGGGAAACTATGCATTTGGACTGACTATATTATGACAGAAAAATAACCTAACTCGAGTCTGAATTTACTATCTAGTTAATGAACTCAAATATATTTTTTTAGTTCATTAATATTAAAACCGGTATAATAATTAATACATAACTAATTATAAATATTGCGTGTTATATCATATATTTATGTAAAACCATTATATGAAAATAAATGTTAAGTAGGTGAAGCCTAACATTCGATTGTAGTATTGCATAGAGGTTTTTTATTTTTTGCAAAATTATATTATTATAAAAATGAATTGCAATATAATTTATGTAATTACACTGGTACATGAGAAAAAAAAAGTCGAAAGCAAAAACCCAAATCATTTCAGACTCGACCCGAAATTTTAGTTGGCGCAAATGTGTATAGGTTCACTGTAGAACATAATAAAAATGAAATATTTCATTATAAATCGTCAAAGATTAAAATATTTGAAAAAATCATGTGCTAAAATCGATAATAACACTAGGTATGTGAAAATACATATTTTGCACGTTGGATTTATGCCTTCGATTCGTAAGGTGTTTACCTACGGGAAATAAATTGGCTACAAATCGAGATTACGTGAGAAAAATTAAAACGAGATTCCTATAAATTCCGAGGCCTAGATCAAAGTGATAACACTATGAGTAATAGGTATTTCGGTTTTCTAGCGGTTCCCGATAGTATTCACGATAAGATAAAAAAAAATATTGTTACGCACACGCACACATACGGTCGGAGCAACAGACCATAAACGTCGTGTACTCATAAGGTGTGTGTCGTAGCGAGCAACACGGGCACGCCTGCAAGGATAGGGAAGGAATACAACGCAAAATCCAAACTGTTCGACCGAGCGTACCTGGATGCCGTGCGTTCTGCCGACGGTCCAATCGCAACAGGTTATCGGGACGCGACGAGCGTACCTAACGTCACAGATCGAAAACTTGAAAAAACTGGAAAAATAATAGCACTACCACGTCGTCGTGCGTTCCATTTGAAACACTCTGTATGATTATTATTATTATTATTATTATTATTCGAGTGCGCGCATACCGCCAACGCCGCCGAACCCCACCTACTTTCGCCACCGCCCCGAATGAGATCATCGGTAGGAAGTGAAAGGGAAAATCATATTATCATTATTACGAAAAATAATAATAATAATAATAATATAGGGCCGTAGACAAGCGCCGTGTTCCTCCTGGACCATTATTGCTGTCAATTAATATTAATATATTGTAGTGCTCTGTTGAACGCGGTGGCGACCCGTATGCGGACGACGCCGAACAAAGAGAGAGCGTGAGGAGAGCAACAGAAAACAATTTAATATCATCGTCGGTTCCAGTGTTCGAACCAAGAGCGATTCGAATTCTACCCAAGTAAGTGCCTCCGCGTACATGTTCGGCTTGTGATTTTTGTTGTCGTTCGAAGTGTCCGTCGGACGTGTTTTTCGCAACGTAAAATTATTTTACGCATTTTGTAACGTTCCGTATTCCGTGCAGCTTTGTTTCAACCGTTTCGCTTGCTGTCTTGCCTTTACTGTGAAACGATAAAATACGCACAAGTGGTTGTTGTATTCCTACATCAAGTCGTGTTCCATCGTCGTCATCGCCGTGAATTTACGTCTGGCTTGTCAACAATTATAATTTTTGTCCACTCAAATACGTACTGTCGTCGTCCAAGTAATACTTATTGTCTTTTGCGTGTTTTTGTATCCATTTTAAAGATGAACAAAAAGTGCGCCAGATGTGAGAAGGTCGTATATCCAATAGAAGAACTGAAATGTCTGGACAAGGTAAATGCTTTTATATTATAGTCCCAGTTGGTTTAATTACGTGTGTTTTGTATACTTAATATTTTAGATCAAGAACTGGGTTGGCCTGGGTATCATATAATAAAGAAATCAGCAGATCCCCGGTTTTTTGCAGGCATAGAGAATATAAACAATATTTATGTATAAAACATTGATTTTATGTATAGTATATGGGGATCTGCAGTTCAGGATAGCTTTTAATAAAATATTTACAAATTATATGAGATGTATAGGTAGATAGGTACCTAATTATATTGAACAAGTTTAATCTGTGAAAAAATAAACATAGCAGAAGAATTGTTTCACTAAAATAGTTCTAACTCATTTAACAGAGTAAGCATATTATTAGAAAAAGATAATTTAATCTATTTTAATTATTTGTAATTTAAAATAATTCCTATCGTGTAACTGTTGTCAATGAAATTATAAAAGTATTATAATATGCTTGATACTTCATTTGTTAATTTTAAGGTTTTTGTGTTTTTATGTATTTGCAGTTTTATTATTTCTCTGTTCATTTTGAATAATTTTTCAACATCATAAAATCTGATTTAATTTTTTTACTAAGTACCTACATAATTGAATTCATCTTAACTTTTTTTTTATTTTTTATTTAATTAAATTTAGCACTTATAATTTAAAATAGTTTGTTATTCATTTAATTCAATGAAATTACCTAATATTTTTCCTATTTACGTTTTATCAACACTTGGGCCAGACCACAGCTGATACTTTTATCTTGATGGTATTTATTATTGTATTAAATTTTATAACAAAGCTTATTGGGCTCAGATAGGAACCTCTGCCTAGACCAATCTAAACTAAGAAAATATTTTTCAGTTAATATTTTTGTATCATTATAGGTTTGGCACAAACAATGCTTCAAATGTCAGTCTTGTGGCATGACATTGAATATGAGAAATTACAAAGGATTCAATAAAGAACCCTTTTGTGAAGCGTAAGTACACTGTAATTGTATTTTATAAATTTATAATTTTTCTAACTTTGTACTTGATATTCCTAAACTAGCCAATTAAATTATTGTCAACAAGTGTGATTAATTTATACAATAGAACAATACTTCTTCTTCTTCTTCTTCTTCTTTGGATTTTTAGAACAATACTTATCATATCATATTTATAATGCTACTGTAGAATATGTTTATATGGTTTTACTTTTGGTGTTAACGAGCTAAATCATTTGATTATACTAGTACTAAATATTAGTCAAGTATTTCACTGTAGTAAAGATTAAACTAATGCTAAACATCCAAAAAATGCATACAAACATACAATAATAGAAAATAGACTTTACAATTATAGTCTACAGTTTTAAACTTATGACAATTATTTATGTTAACTTTTGATGTTTTTTATAAATTATAATATCTATAATTAATTTGATTGTACTCAAAAACAGTTATATTTTTTATCCATTTTCTATTTTTATATCAGAGTAACTATTTTATATTTGTTTCTGGAAACTAATATGAAATTATAATAATGTTAATCTGTGTATCTATAAATATAAAAAAAATATAAAAACTGGAGAAAATAGTAAAAAACTATTATAATTAATTAATATATAGTTCACTTTTGATGTATGAAAAAGTATAACTTATTGAGTTATTTAATCTTATTTGATTTATGATGAAATTATTATCGGTTTTGTTTAGTTTTAATTATTTAATTATATATCATTAATATAATTAAAATTTATAAAACTAAAAATGTTTTTATCAGACATTAAAATTAGTTGAAGGTACATTATAAAAATTATACATTATTGTGTAATTAACTTATAAATAATAGGATTTTTTTTTTTTTTTAATTTTAGTATTAGAAATATGTTTTTATTATTATTAATTTATTTAGAATCATATAAATGCATTTTATATTATTTTTGATAAGAATATTTTTTAAAATTTTTTTAAATCTTTTAAAAAAAATGTACCCTACAATTTTGCTGTAGTCAGTTATATTATGAGCGATTTTTAATTTTTGTCAATTGCAGCGTTATTGATTAAGTTACATTTGAAAAATATTCATCAAAACAAATCAACTCGCAAAATTATATTTTGTTGTAGTTAACAAAATATTTTATTTATTTTGTATAACCCTTTATATAAACCTGTATATAAACCTTTGTATAAACCTCCCCTCCAAATAAGTTGATGTTATATTAGCTGTTAGCTGTATGCATCATTTATTTTGTTTATGTACATTAATAATAGTATTTATACTATATTGTTATAAATATTATTATTTAAAATTACTTTTAAAATACAAATTCAACAAAATAGTTTAACTTATCATATAAAACTAAGTAATTAAAATTGATATTTTATACTTATGTACCTATATATAGAATTTTAACTGATTTACTTTTTAGCTAAAAAATTACCAAATTTGATTTTTAAATTGTCTTTTTATAACATAAATTTATGTTTTCCTTTTAAATTTAAACTTTAGACATAATTTGGTTAATTCATTTTTTATAAAAGTTTCATATTCTGATTTTATTTTTGTAGTAACCAAATTATATTTTTACATGATTTCATAAATAAGATTTAATTTTAATAAAATATTAAAACAAGATAAAATAAGGATTTTAGAACCCATATTCTATAATTTGTTTGTATAACATTTTTTAAAAAATACTTTTACTAACTGGCATAGCTATTGTAAGGCAAAATGGGACAATGCCCCGGATCACCATAACACAGAGGGCCTTGGAATTCTGGAACAATTCTGAGACTATATATTTTTTTAAATAATTGAAAATTGCGATAAATTTAATTTTTAAATATTATTTATGATCATTATTAAAGTATAATAATAATTTACCCAATATGCAATACGATTTTATAATATTAAATTAAATTTACTTTTTACTTTGTATGTTTATTAATTATCTGTTAATTATTTTTGTCTATTGTTTCATAGAGTAATTATTCAAATTTGAAAGAAAATATGACATGTATATCTTCAATTTTCATATAAACTTAATTTAAATTAGGGGGGACTAATTAATTTACTACATCAAAGCCTTTTTCTATCTAGTTGCAGTACTGCTTTTTTTTTTTTTTATATATATAGTAACCGAGAACTGGGCGAGAATTGTTTGCACATTGCTGCCGTCCAAAGTTGCAGTACTGCTTATATCTTATTTTTTATTAAATTATAACTATTAAAAATATATACATAAAAACATATTACAGAACTTTCTATATTTTTCTGCTTCAATCTACTATTTTTTAAATTGCAGGAACTTAAATAGTTACAAAACACAAATTTAATGAATAAGACTTATTAGAATAATTATGATATGTGTACATATGATTATGACATTAGTATAATGGATAAAATAGACTTAAGTGATAAATTCCTTGTTAATAATCAGAAAATGATTAAACTATGTAATGGTATTTAAATGGGTAAATGAAATACTCTTGTCAGATAATATTAATTAAAATGTTTAATATTTAAATTTTTGTTTCATTAGTCACTAATGTTTCAAAAAATACATGGTCCAAATTATAGTTTACATAAATCATCAATTTTATCATTAATTTTGTTTCAGACACATTCCAAAAGCAAAACATACTACTGTTGCTGAAACACCAGAGTTAAAAAGGATTGCTGAAAATACCAGATTACAATCAAATGTAAGTTAATTTAACTATAGATTGTTATTAATATAAGTTGTACAAAATATTTTGATTAATTAACTTTCAATCCTCATGTACTCAAATATTATATATTATTTCATGCAATCTTTATGGATAGTTAACTTTTGGTGAGTATTTAAAGAATATTTAAATGTATTTGTATCATTGATTATACATTATACTATGAATTGTTATTAATGTATTTTTTATATAAAAGTTCATTTTATTTTATTATTTTTACTATCTATTAATAATTTTCTTTAAATATGGAGTGTTTATTGTAGTTTCAATAATTTTTAACTAGTCACATTTATTTATTATTTTTTTTTTTTTGTTTGAATATTAGAATTGCATTTATTTTAATGTTAACATTTGTAGTACTATTGATTCCTAGAATTAAATATATTAAAAGAATTATGCACATAAAATAAATATATAAAGAGTATTGGGTTTCTTATAGCTATTGTCTTTTGGATTTTTTTTTTTTGTTAACAAAATTCACTATATTAGAAAAATAAAAATATTTCTTACTTTTTTTATTATTATTGTATTGTAGGCACAGTATCATGCAGAATTTGAAAAAACTAAAGGAAAATTAACTCAAGTTGCAGATGATCCAGAAACTTTAAGAATAAAAGCTAATTCAAAAATTATAAGGTAAACATTGATTAATGTAAATATTTAAGTTTTAGTTTTTAAATATTTTATGTTAGCTTTTATTGTAAAAATTAAAAATATATTTACCATTAACTATTGATTTTTATAAATTATTTGTTGTTTTATAGTAATGCAGCATATCATGGAGATTTTTTGAAGAAAGCAGAGATGGAACAACGCCGAAATTTAAGTAATGGAAACAACGCAACAAATATTAATGAAGCAACAGGTAATTAAATTGAATTAAACACATTTGGTTTATATACATTATTTTTTTATTCAAATTATATAGCTAAGAATATTGTTGTGAACAAACCTATTCAAACTGATGATCAGAATAATGCTGTTAAACAGAATAAAGCGCAACAACATTTTAACTCTGGGAATACTAGATATACATCCCAAAAAGTTGAAAATAATCCATATCATTCTAGAGAAGATTCATCGGCTAAAATTCCTGCATGTTTAAATCGTCAATCATCTACTTTAATTTATTCATCTGATGGAGGAGATTTAGGTAAGTTTTCTTATATTTTAAATTTTAAAAATAAAGTTTATAATGTATATTTAGGAAGTTTATTTCTAGTTGAATATTATTGGTTATTAAACTAGTTGACAATTTTAAATAAATAAAAATGTGATTGTGTTAAATTATAATGTTATATAGTATATGAATGATTTCTCTTAGTGTATATATTATTGACATAATTTTTCAATTTAATCTATATTTCCTCTAAAATAATTGTTAATAATTATTAGATTTAATTAATTCTTTATTTTTGAATCAGGTAAACTGATTAAGATACATTTTAATTTTACAGCTACACAAAGTATTCACTTGTATAAATTTTAACATTGTACTGATATGATTAATATTGTATAAATCAATAAAATAATAATGGAAATGAAGTAATTTATATATTTGACTGGAGGTCCTTGGCTTATATACCAATAGTATATTATGTATTATATTATTTAAAAAAAAAACTATATTTTTTTTAGAACTAAAGTCTGACGTATTTTGATATTTAATTTGAATTTCTATTACTACTTTGTTTTTGATTATAGTATTAGTTAAGCATTGAAATTTGTTTTAATTTTGTTATAAATTCTGCATTACATAAAAAACTTTTTTTTTTTATTAATTTCATTTGAACATTTTTTTGATAAAAACTGCATTTAACATAATAATTTGTAGTTCTTGGTAAATTGTAGTGTATAACTGGTCCAAAAATATTTTATTATATAATTTACTACATTTTTTTATAGTAGTATTATGTATACTAAATGGGTTAACTTTAATTGTTTAAATAAAACTGTGTGAAAATTATACTTAAAGTTTAATTTAAATATTTAAACAAATTTTTTGGAGTATTATATCCGAAGTTAAAAACTAATATTATTTAAATATTAATTAAATTATTAAAGTATTTAAACTATATACTTACCACTAGAATAAAAATAATTTTAAACATTTTATTATTATACTATATTAATTATATAGTTTTGAATTTATATTAATTAATATAATACATTAATAATTTGAACAATTTTATAGTTAACAATGCCTTTAACAATCATCAAATTGGTTCAATTGCTGACTATGATCCAATTAAAAAGCAACAACCTTATGGTGGTGTTAAGTATACCAATTATTCTGAAAGCAAAAATTACAACTTTGGGGTATGTATTTGTTGCTATTTCTATTATTGGTTAAAAAAATAGGTGTCAGAATAACTGAATTGTTATATTATTTTAATTTAAGAGGGTTTACCGAGCTATGTATGATTATGAAGCCCAAGATTTGGATGAAGTTTCATTTACTGATGGAGATTTAATTGTAAATTGTGCTGCTATTGATGATGGTTGGATGACTGGTGTTGTTCAGAGAACAGGAAAATCCGGCATGTTACCAGCCAACTATGTCCAACCTGCAGCTATTTAAAATTATGAATTTAAATTATGTGTTATTTGTTAATGTTTATGATATGTTTATAATATGGTGAAAACATAATAACTATATATTAATAGCGATTTGTTTCTAATTCTTAAAACTAAATTTATTAAATTATAAATTTATTAAATTACTCCTAACTGAAATTAATAAAGAGCAGCTAATATGTGATATTAATCATATCAAATGAAACAATTCTAAAATTAATATGATTTTTATCTAAAGTAAAATGGCATTCCTATGTTAAAAATGTAACTATTGAATTAAGGAAACATTCCAGTATTTGAACTAGTATTTACATTTTTTTTTTCTTTATAGAACTACTTTTTAAGTCAATTTTTTAATGAGTTGCTGCCCCAAGTTGCCTTTTTATAAGTAATTAACTTACTGTTAAACTGATTTACATTTTATATTATTTGAAAATGTACCTATATATTTTTTTTTAATTTATAATTTTTATATTAAACAAAGAAGCAATAACTTTATTTTATTATAAAACAAATCCAAATTTATTAGATAACGTTTTAGTAAATATATTGTTAAGTAATAATTTATATTTATGATAAAATATTTCACGAGTTTACTATATATTACATACTAATTTTAAAATAGATTTTTTTTTGTCATTAAATCTTATTTTGAAAAATATTACCTTGTATAGCATATTTATTGTTGAATAAATATATAGTGTACTTTTGTTGAATCCCGTAAATTCTTTTTTTATGTCGTTTTCATTAAATTTATTGAATTTTTAAAAAACAAAGGTAAATTAAAAATTTTGTATAATATTTAATGTTATCAACAGTAATTTTTATAGTAAATGAAATGTGTATGAAATAAAATATCAGAATAAAATTGGCGATATGTAAACATATTTATGTTTTATTAATTTATAATTTTAATATTTTTATATTTTATGATAATAGCAAATTGTTATAATATTGTTATAGTATTTTTATATCCAAAAATTTATTATTCATATTGTATTGCACTTTTATGTTCAAAGTCTACTAAAAGTAGTTGTTAATGAAAAATTTAGTTATAACAATACTCAATTTTTTTTAATGATTGCTATTACCATTTGATATAAATAAACACGTATTGCATTCTGGATAGTAATAATTCTTATGTTATCATTTTGGTCATAGAATTATCATTGTAAGATTAAAAATGATTGATATTCAAACTCGTATTACCTGTTAATTTTAGTTAAAGAAATTCAATTACATAAATATTTTTTGGTTAAAAAGTTATTTAGTAAGAAAGTAGTACTTGGAAGTACTAAAAACAATTTAATTTATAAAATAAAAAAAATAGAATGATTCATAGATTTAATTATTTTTTACATGTCAGTGTTGATTATATTATGTTGTTGTGAGCTGGTTGCTGAGTATTGTTATAACGAATGTTTTTCATTTCATATTTTTTTTTTTAATATTTATCTTTAATTTATCTATAAAAATATAATATAATAGTTCCAAAATCGTAGAATTATAGAATGCTGAGATCAACAAAATAGATTATTTACCATCCATTTGCCATTTTCGCTCAATAATTAAAAACATTGCCTTATTATGTCCTATTCTTATTAATCCTTTCATTCTCTGCTACCTTTACCCTCATACGTGCATGGAAATTAAAACAGCATTCTGAAAATATAAATTTGCTACATTATTTTTTTTATTGAAAATTCATAAAACTTTCAATTATAGTACCAAAGACTTGAGTATTGAATTCTCCACAAGTTATTATTTTTTATCAATAAAAAAAAAATATTCTTCGAGCGCACTGTTCTAATATCTTTTTCATTTTTCATGATTCCCTACTTATTTAAACAATGGAATTGACTGGAACAAACCAAAATTTATTTAGATTCGGAGTTTTACTACTGGAATACAAATATAAATTATTAATACAGTCCTTAAATCACAGATTTTTTTATAATTTCTTGCAATTAAATACGGTTTTAAAATAATTTTTGAAGAAGTTGCTTGTTGAGAAAAATTTCAAATTCCTGTAGACCCATTCCATATCCAATTATTTACTAAACTATTTTGATTCCGTGATCATGAATCAGTGATTCAGTGATATTGCGATAATAAAAAAAAATAAAAAAATATTCTAGCTAAAATATAAATTATGAAAAAGTTTTATCTTAGGGTTACTATTGGTAATATATGATATATTAAACAATACAGATATCTAAAATTGAAATGAGGTTTGGTTTCTCAATTTTATCGATCCAGTTGTTATCCGACAAACTCATACTCTTATATATTTATATGTATATTATTACTTCGTACTGAGTGAAGTCTGTAGATATTAAACATAAACGGTTATTTTGTCGGAATATAATATCCATAGGTACGAGCTTTCAAGACATACAATAAAAATGACGCGAAAAAACCAGAAATTTGTTCTTGACACTAAATTATTCAGACAGTTAGAAGAAAATATCGATAAGATAACTGAAGAAGAACATCTTAGATTAGAAAAATTAGAAATAGCTCGTGAAGAGAAGTTAAAAAAGAGAAGAGCAGCTAGTAGAACAGAGTTACAGACCTATGGCATTTTAAGAGACAAAGATCCTAAACCTACTTTGGTCAGTGATATTCATTATCATTGCTAAATATTATAATTTATTGAGAATGATTTCTTTATTTCTTTATTTGAGAAAGTAAAAAAAAAAAAATATTATTTATTTATTATATTATAAATAATATTTTAATATTAATTTTTATTATTTATTTTCGGAAAACTATCATTTAAATAGGATTACTTGGTAGTTTATTAATCAACTATAGAAGATATTAATTGAATTATAAAAATATTTTGTTCGGAACTCTCATTAAAATAATATTTCTCTACACATAAGTAATATGATTACGAATTGTAATTTTCCTTTAAACTCATATATATATATATATATATATATATATATGTTATTTATTAAACGTATTAAGTGTGAAAATTGATACATCACAGAATTTAATTATCTTTAACAGTTAAACGAAGAAACGAAAAAAAAGATGGGTCCTATACTAAGAAAAGCATACGAATTAAGACAAGAGCAGGAAGACGAAATAAAACATTGTAATTCGTTGATATTGAGTGCTAAATGTCTTTCCATCAATTATGCGCAACTTGCTGAAAAAGAAAATAGACAGTATGTAACAGTCCTAGCTTATTGAATACCCTGAAGTATTCGAAAGTTTCTTTTTTTTTTTTTTTAATCGTATTTTAATATTTTAAAAACGATTAAAAAAAAAGAAAACAGATAAAAATAAATGAACAAAAATTAACGAAAAATTCTGGGTTTGAAGTTATTTTAATTAGTTTAGTTTATCGCATTTTGAAATCAACGTATTTTGGAAAACGATGTAGGTAGTACATAATTGTATATAACCTGTATAGCGCGATGCAAGAATTGTATTGGTTGCGAAAAGGTCATCGAAATTGGAAATATTTTTTGCCGCAATTTTTTTCTTTAGAGCATGTGAATAGAATTATTCAAAGTTTATAAAGTTTCATAAATAAATAAAAAAAAAAAAAATTTAATTTCAATTCCATATAAATGTGGAATTACCTAAAAATGTATGTTATTTAAAAATAACTAAAAAGTAGTTCTTTTTTTACAAAAACGGTGTACGTCAATGAAATATATCATTAATTACTATATAACATTTTTCTAATTATGTTTTATTATGTTAATAATAATTATTATAAATCAATTCAGAAAAATTTATACGGAACACATAATAAAAGCTAATCAAAGAAATTCTGTGGGAACAGGGTTTAAGTGTGCCATAATCAACTATGATTGATCATTTTTACTATAATATTTATGTTATAGAAAAGGTGAGAAAGAAGAAGCACGTAAATATGAATTGCTCTTGGATCAAGAACGTTATGCACAGATTCAAAAGTACAACGATGCTAGGGAAACAGAGCAAAAAAGAAAAGATTTATATGTTACGGAAATTAAGCAACAGATAAAAAAAAACGAAACTGATAAGAAAAATTTGGAAATCGCTAGAATAGCAGAAGTACGAATAATGGTTCTATACAGGATGTTTATTACCTATATTTATTCATTCAGGATGCACAAATTCGCATGGAAGGGTCACAAAAAGCACAAAATGATGAATTGAAACATCATAAGGAAAAATTGGAAAAAAAAGAACAGATTAGAAAAACTCTCTTGCTATTTAAAAGTATGTTAAATGACAAGAAATTAAGTGAAATCGAAATTGAAAACAATGAAAATCTAGAGGTATTTTTTGTATTAAATATACTTTATTGTAAAAGTAATCAATAATCATAATACTAATTTTGCGTTCATGATGAAAATCTTTAAAGCATCCCCGTAGTAATTGAAATATACTAACAAAAAATAATTAATTATGACTTAAAATTGTTCATTATTAGTTAAAACCAATAGTTTAACGTACAAAAATTTTTATTTTATATAGTGCTATAATACAAAATTAAAATAACTAAATAATAAAAAAATAAAAAAAGTAACTTTAAATTTATTATTTTTTTAGTGTTACATATTTACTACTATTGACTGTTGACTTTAACAAAAAAATGTAATAAAATGTTTTGAAGTATATACAATTAACTATGAATACGAGTAATTATTAGTAAGTAGGTATTTTTTTTAATACATTACACATTTAACAGGTTACACTTAAAAATAATTACCATTTTTTAAATCTTTTGAATTAAACATTTTTAAATTTGAATTTAAAATAACTTTTTATTAAATTTTTAACCAATTGATGACGTCCCAAATACAAGATAATTACATTTTGGTTTTAACTTTAATAGGTGCCTACTGGCAATGAACTCAATAAGCAATTCAGGCTTTTAGCATGTCGGTGCTTAAAAGTAGTTTAAAATTATCAATAAATTTAAATTTAAATGGTTTGTATTCTTACAGAGACTAGAATACAATCGAAAAAAACAAGAACAAGAAGAAGAATATAAAAAAGAGTTGATGAAAAAAAAAAATTTAAGAGAAAGAGAAATTAACAAAGTTCAAGCGAACCAAAAAGCTTCGCAAGATACGCAAGCCCTTAAAGACGAGTTGATGGCAATTCGTATCCAAGATAAAGTAATCATTTTCATATTTTTATGAGTTACACGTCGAGTTTAATTATAATGTATGAGATGGATTGTAGGTCGAACGAGAATTTCGCCGAAAAGAGCTAGAAGACGAAATGAAAAAAATACAAATAAATAATGATTTGAAGGAAGCTCGGCGCCAACAAATTGAAAGCAACCGGGAGAGTGCCATTATGGAAGAAAAAATAGATCAAGAGCAGTTAGATAAAATCCTTAGATTTAATATAGAAGACAAAAAAAAAAATGAAGAAATAATAAAACAAAATAATATTGTACATATACTAAATTAACTTATCTATTGGATGTTGATAGCATAATGTACTGATAAAAATATTATAAATTACTAGAAAATCAAAACACACCTCAAAAGTTTAAAGCAACAAATGGTTGAAAAAGAATTTGAAAAAATTAAAGAGAGAAGGATGTTTTTCCGGGAAGGTGTAACGTATCAAGAAAACAAAAATGCTAGAGAAAAAGCATTACGTATGACGGTAGAAGAGAAAATTGCAGAACTGAAGTAATATATAATATTTTTATTCAATTAATAAAATAATAACTATGGCTGTGTTTTTTTAGAAGACATAACGTACCGATAAAATATGTACAAGATATTGAAAGGAAAATAAAACATAAAAAATGGTAATAAATAAATAAAACATATAACCACACGGATTTAAAAAAATAATAATTTTCATTTTCTGAACATCTTATGTGTAATTTAATGTTGTAAGAATTCGTAAGATTTTTAATTTTATATTAATATTTTAAATAGATAAATTAGATTGATAATGAATCGAATAATATAAATTATATTACTTTTATCATGTACGTAGTTCATGATTTGAACTTATTTTATTTAATTTTTTTTATTTAACAATGAATCATACAACTATATAATAAAGCACAACAAGTAATAATGAATAATAATTTTTTTTTTTTTAACATGAAAATTGATACGATGTAGAAGAGCTACCAATGAAGCCATTTACTTTTAATACTAGAGAGGAATAATTTTAATAAAGGAGGTTTCTACACCACTTACGTTTGAGTCCTCTATTAGAATTTACATATTTTATTTTCAGGTCGGAGGAGGGTTTTGTTATTAGCGTACCAGGGAGATTTTATTATAGTGCGTAAGCAGATGGATTGGAAAGATTGGATTTTTTGTATGTTACTTTATATGTTACTTTGTATGAAGTGGCATTACCCCAAATTTGTATACCATAATACCATAAAGGATATATCAGCGCTTTGTAGATAAGAATTTTAAGTTTCAGATTTAATTTGGTTCTTAGGAGAGGTTGAAGTAAATGAAATCTGGTGTTCAATTGTTTCCTTTTATCGTATATATGATCTTTCCAAGTAAGTCGTTTATCAAAAATAAGCCCTAAGTATTTGACTTGGTTGGTTTGAGATAACTAATGGTTGTAAAGTTTGACTGACAGACAGTTTTTAGAACGAAGAGAGAAAGTAATGTGACTCGATTTGTTTGTATTAATTTTAATTTTTCATAGTATGAATCAGTTTTCAAGTAAGTTGAAGTGGTATTGTAATTTGAAAATTGCAACTGTGGGATTAGTATCTGAAGCTAAAATTAGATTAGCTTAGATTAGATAGCAAAATAAGATGTAGGTACATAGATTAGATATAAAAGAGGAGAATTGTGACTTTAGGGCACACCGGTGTTTATCATAAATTTGTTCGAAAGAGATTTATATATATATATATTTACTTGAAAAGAACGATTATTGAGATAAGATTTAAGTATTATAAAGTATGGGGGTTGGGAAGTTTATTTTTAATTTGTAGAGAAGTCCATCGTGCCATACTTTGTTGAACGCTTAGGCGACGTCCAGGAAGATACCTGAGCAGTATTTTTTTTTGTTCGAGGGATGATGTGATGGCATCTGTGAGATCGTTAAGAAGGTGGGTCGTAGAGTGATTTGCTCGGAAGCCAAATTGAGAATTAAGAATTATTTCATTTATTTCAGAAATACTTAGATAGCGTTTTAATAGATGTTTTTCGAATAACTTTCCAAGGGATGGAAGGAGGCTAATTGGACCGAGAAACGATTCTGTCTTGGAAAAAAATTAATTTTTTGAATTGTTGGTTTAGGTGAATTGAGTGATTTCGTCGGTACCGTTTGCCAATTAATAGGGCGGACGTTGTTTTTAATTATTTTATTGGAGAAACTAATGTGTTATTTTTAGAAGATTGTTGATGGTTTGGGATATAGTGCTGAAGGTTTATTAAGTGAACTCATTGTTCAAAGTCCGACTTTTTGATTTGTAAATTTATATCAGGGGGAAATTATGCAAATTAATATAATTGACGATGTTGATTCTATTAATGACTTAAATAAGGCAAGTCACTAAGTAATGTGCGTCTACTCGCTAGGAGTGCACAAGTAAAAGTGAAAACATGTTTTATACGTAAAATAACAAAAATCACTGATGTACTCGTATTTGTTTATTTTTGTATACGACCAGTGGTTAAAGTGGGAAAAATGTTGTGGGGGGACTACATTCATCAAAAATTGAGGAGCGTTCCCCTACCTAATTCTAAATCTTACTAACCTTTTTTAGGAAACCTATGAGGTCTAAACCTCTTCTGTTACACATATATGTTCATAAAAACTTTATTTTCATAGGGTGTAAAAACAAATTTTCCCCAAAGAAAAATAATTCTGTACATATGCCTGCTCAGTAAAAATAAATTGAAATACATAGTAGATAATGTTTAAAAAACTTAACTTAAACTTAATAAAACTAAAAAGAAACAATTACTAATCTTGCTAGTTGTTGGTCAACGCAGACAGTAACAAATACGTACATTGCACATAAGGTGTATATTATATATATATATATAAGATAGTGTCTATACTCTATCACAATTTAATATTTATATTTTTTATAGTTATTCTATTTTGCTTATATTTATTCTAAATAATAGTCGATATCACTATGACTTTAATTTTAGAGCTGTGTAATAACCGCTCGGAGATCATCTATAATTAGATACAGCGTCAATTAAATTAACCTATGGTGTACATTAACTACCATTTTTGCTTATCGTTATACCTACATAATATTTTTTCGAAATTTTTTCCACTTGTTCAAGTTAATTAAGAAAATAAATTTCATGTAATATTGTAATATATAATAACTTATTATTTATTATTAATAAGTATATTCAATATTGTATTTTAGTGACCAATGCCATTAAGCGTCCACCCGGACTTTTGGCGAATTAAATTACAGAGGACGCATTGTTTTACCTTAAATAAGAAGGGGGACTCCATCCTCTTCCATTCCTCCACTTTAACCACTGTTTACGGCATTATGTACATCTAATTAATGTTAATTATTTTCTAGAATTTTGTATTTACTATCGATAACAAAAAAAAAAAAAAAACTTGTGGATTATTTGTGATTTGCTATATACGTATACTGTACTATATAAATGTTACAAATATTTTTTGTCGACAGAACGAAGGCATTTTATGGTTTTTTTATAGTAAATATAATTATATTTTAATTTACTAGATGATGTTTAACAGGCATCCTTTTGGTATTGAATAGTATATTATAATAAGCTAACCCAACTTAAGAAATTCTACACTCTATAATTACCTGCATTGTTATTATATCTGTTTCTTCTATTTAATGTAACTATCGAACTATAATAGTTTTTGCTGAAAGTTCTAAATAAAAAAATAAAAAAAAACTTAAGAAATATTATTTCAAACAGTAATCTGAAAGTTTTTTCAAAAATAAATATTTGTGTTTAGTTAAACAAAAATATTCGTAATTTTTTTCTTCAATCGGTCATCATTGTTTAATTCTATAGAATTATGAGCATTGATTATAAGCTCTTTTTTTTTTTTTACTGAAAGAAAATTAATTAATAATTGGTTATTAAAATTACATACATATAAAATAATAAAATTAATTACATATTGAAGAATAAAACTAATTTAAAATATCAACTTGATAATTTTAGAAATATTTTTTATACAAATATGAGATAAATCATGACATAAAACTAAATTAAAATACAATTTTGATGCTGCTTTAAAGAACTAAAAATTATTTAAAAATTAACATTTTATGAATATTTCGAATCGCTAATAATTACTCTAAATACGTCTAGAATAAGCCGATTTTTTTTATTTTAGAATTCTTTCATATTTTTACACATTTATTTACCAAAAATGTAGACCTCTCATAAATGAAACTCAGTCATCTAATTATTTTTTTAAAAAAAAAAACGAAATTCCAAATTACATCACTAACACAGAAACTTATCGACATTCATCGACTTTTCCTTTCCCGTATACAAATACAGTAGTATCATCCACAATTCAATAAAATTAAATACCAAAATGAAATTCAAATATTTAAAAATCGAATTAAAATTACTTACGGAGTTTTCCCAATCGCTCAAAAACTATACACATACACCCTCGGTCTTGTTCACCACTCTCTTGACAATGAATGAAGCATAATCCGTAAGCATGAAAAAAAGAAAGTGAAATAATTTAATGTATTGTAATGAGCACCATCTCAATTCAGCTCTAAATCTCCTATCAAACAACTTTACCGTATAAAAAGGATTCGATTCAAAATATAAACATTCATATCCGATTCAAACTATTTAAACTTTGAATACTTGTGAATTAAAAATATTTTTAGTTATTTTAACTTTGATTTTTATTTCATCGACACTAAAGTTATTATTTAAAAAAATTGTATGAGCAGAATTGAAAGTTAAATAGATATCTATAAATGTAAAATATTTGTTATTTAATAAAAAAAAAAAAAATAATAATAAATATAGACATATGAAATATAATTAGACATAAAATAAATGTAATATATTTTAATAACACACACGGTCAAGGTTAAGATTGATATTATTATGTAAAATGAAAATCGGTTAGGTTAGATTAGGCTAGGTTTTACTTTAAAAACACATTTATTGCTTATTTCAAAATCTATTTTTAATAAAAAAAGATAAAAATTGGATCATTAGATAGTTTTCATTATAGTGTATCATAATTTTACTATGAGTTATCGATGATCAAACTTTTTGCTGTGAACGTATGAAAAAAATACTGTGTGAACACAATGTTGTCGTTTATAATAATTTAATTCGTCGCTTACAGCATATTTTTTATATAAAAAAATGAGTAATATCTAAGAAATAAGAATAAAATGCGGTAATTGACATCAATTTTTAGGTTAATTCAATTCAATCTTAATGATTATGACAGCTGAAAAGTTTAAAGCTGATTTAAAACGATTTAAACCTCCAAATAATGTATGATGAAAATTATTTGTTAACATACATTATGAATTATTTACTTTTTCAATGCATACCCATTGAATATTACTTTTACCTAACGAGTTGTTGTTTTTTAATTTTAATTGTTAATAAAATTTAAAAAAGTTTATTGTTTTTTTATATTATTTTAATATTTTGTTTGTTTTTACCCATCAAGTGATATTTTTACCTAACGAATTGTTTTTTAATTTTAATTGTTAATAAAATCATAAAAAACATTTTTACTGTATTTTCATATTATTTTATTATTTTGTTTATTTTATTGAACGAGATGTATTTTGTTTATTTTTAACCATAGAGAATTACTAACAGGTTTTTTTTTTTTTAAAAAATAATATATTTGTATTAAAAATAAAAATGAAAAACATTATAAAAAGCCTAAAACAACAGTGCATTTTATTCAAATTTATTAAGAAAAAACTTGTTTAAATTGACATATTATTCATAATGACTTGGGTATGTGTCACTTAATATGTTTTTTGATGGCACTTGAAGCATTTTTTGTTAGTTAATAACGTAAGCGATAAAAGTACAAGGAAGTTAATTAAAATTTGGTAAACGCCAAGGTTATAATTTAGATATTTTACAAAAGAATCAAAAAATTATTGTATTCCTATGAAATTAAATGTATCTTAAAGGTTAATTTAATAGGTATTTGGTAATAAAAATTGAAGGAATTTCTATATAACTACAAAAGTTATACCATTTTGAAAATAAAAATAGTGACAAAATCGTTTTTGGGCTCTCCTGAAAAGTATGAAATATGTCGTTTACACCAAATAGCCTTTTAATCGACGATATATTAATATAATCTTTAATGAAAATAAACGGTTTAAGATAATTTATATTTAAATTTTCCGATTTCATATTTAGTTTCTAATAAGTAATAAGTCTATAAATTTAAAATATTTTTTTTTTAGTTTTTTTGTTGACATATAATTAAGCTCAAAAATATGAAATCGAAATGTTGATCGATTACCCAATAACTCAACTATAGTGACTTCATGTAGGTACGATGTTGTTTATTATTTTTGGTAAACGAGAAAGAATAGTGTGGCCAATAGTGGTGTCAAGAGTCAAGATTGAGTATGTATCATATAAAAATGAATATAGTTATCGAGTGATGTAAAAACACGGTATATAGATGATGTTTAATACACTTTATACTGTACACAATAAGCATTAATACTATTGAATTTGAATATCATTATTTAACTATTATTATGATTATTATTTTAAAATAAAAATTACTATAACTTAA